TCCTGCAAAGAGGCAAGTTTTGCAAATAAGAATGTTTATGAATGGTTTGATGATAATACTAAACGGCGACATTTTTTTTGTTAGCTTTGCAATTCTCTATTCAATAAAAAAGAAAATTGGTGATAGAAAATAATCTCTTTGTTCAGTATCTTGCTATCATGCAATAATGACAGCAGTGATAGAGCCAACAATGATGATATCAGTGCAGATAATAGTAATAATAACAATAAGAATAATAGTAACGGTAGAATAACAACTATAAGATTATAATAGAATGATAATGATAAAGATAAGAAAAAACAATGATAGCACTGATGATATTAATTACAATAGCAATGATATCAATGACAACAATGATGATAGTGTTAATGTGCTGATCTTAATAATAATAATGATGACAATGATGATAATCATAACAGCAATCATAAAAAAGTCTCACTTATATCTGTCGTAGGCGATGGCTGCGTTGGTCATGGCGCCTGAGATCCCAGAGTACGACCCCATGAGAGCGAAGATGTCGCAGCCGAACTTGCCCCAAATAGGTCCCTCGTTGAAGGAGTTGATGATAAACACGGGCGTCTTGAGCATCATGATGAAGTCGAGGAGGGCGAGGTTCACCACGAACATGTTAGAGGGCGTTCGGAGGCTCTTAGCTCTGTGGGCGTGGTGGGCGTGATGGGCGTGGTGGGTGTGATGGACATGGTGGGCGAAGGAGGTATGAGGTAGGGGTAAAGGGAGGGAAAGAGAGGGCGGAGGGGAAAGAAAGAGAGTGTGGGAGGGATATAGAGGAAAAGGGGGGAAGGGGAAGGAAAAGAGGAGAAGGGGGAAGGTAAATGAAGATAAAGGATGTGGAGAAGATAGAAGTAAAACAAGGAGAGATGGAAGGATGGACGTGGTGGGAAGAAGGGCATAAGAAGAGGAATAAAGGAAGTAAAGGAAAGTAAAGGGAGAGGAGGACGGATGCAAAATGAAAGGAAAAGATGGAGAGGAAGAGACAGACAGACAAAAGGAGAGAGAGGAAGAAGAAATATAAGATCAGTGTCGTTAACGGTCCATGTCAGTTAAATAGCTACATAAATGACATCCAATTCAGGTCTAATCGAAATCTAATTCGGGTGGTAATTAATGATAAGATATTTTGTAACAAGAAAAATTAATCACACTAATCTTATGAACAATAACGTAACCAAAGTCAATCACAGGTTCATTGTGTTCAGTTTTCTATTTTCTTTTTACTGCTTCAATTGTTTAATGTACACTACTACACTTGTTTTTTTTTTTCTTTCAAATATGGATATACTTGACACCTTTAATTAATGGTCAAATCATACTTTCACACTTCCGTTGTATATGTATTTCAATCAATAATACTGTGATTCTAAATATTTATGACATCGAGATAACAATATTGATTTTTTATTACATAATTAACTGGTGTTTTATCTTCAGTTTCTACTCTTCGTATTCCATTTAAGCTTCATCTTATTACGTTCATCTAAAAGAAAGAAAGAGAGAGAGAGAGACGGACAACAGAAGAGGGAGAGAGAAGTAGAGAGATAGACGGAAAACACAGAGGAGAGAGAGAGAGAAGAGAGAGAGAGAGAAGAGAGAGAGAGAGAGAGAGAGAGAGAGAGAGAGAGAGAGAGAGAGAGAGAGAGAGAGAGAGAGAGAGAGAGAGAGAGAGAGACGGAAAACACAGAGGAGAAAGAGAGAGAAAGAGAGACGGAAAACACAGAGAAAGAGAGAGAGAAAGGGAGAGAGAGGGGGGTAGAGAGATAGACAGAGAGAGAAAGAGAAAACAAAAGGGACCGACAGAGAGAAAGAGAAAGAGAGAGAAGAAAAAAAAAGAAAAAGAGAAAGAGCGACTTACGACGTGAAGACCCATAGCACAACGCCATTGCCACAGAGAGCAGCGAACATGAAGAAGATGTAGAAGACGCCGAGCATGTAGTGAAGAAAGGGGTTAGGTGCCTCGAACGTCTTCCAGTAAGGGTTGACGAAATCCATGTACTCCGGAGGGGTGTTCCAACCTAGCATCTTCACCTCGTAACGCCCGCTCGCCACGGCACCCGACCTGGAAAGGGGGAAGGGTGGGGGAGGGTGAGAAGAGAGGGTGACGCTCGTTTGGTTTTCGGTTAAAAGAAAAAGGCATGATTTCTTTCGTGTCTGGGAGTTGTTGTATGCAATACATATAAATATCTGCGATATTTATATGTATTGTACACCGAATATAAACAGATCGGATACACATACACATGAGGAAATATAGTAAAACACACACACACACACACACACACACACACACACACACACACACACACACACACACACACACACACACAATACATAGCAAAGCCGAATGGTACGTTTCACATATCTGTCCTCATCATCTGCTTTTCCTCCTTGGGCGGACGCAGGTGCCTGTTCTGCTTTCTCTTTTGACACTTCTGCGACGGAAGTAAACACCCGCCCTCGAAGGGAGCGTCCGCATAAAAGGACA